AAAAATGCACCAACTCCTTAAACTTGGCGATGCACTTCACCACTATTCAATAACTTTATCTCCTCCTTATACTTCACATCTTGAGGGAAGTAATTTTCTAGGAAAATCCTTTGAAGTTATCCTAGTTAATTAAAGCTCTTTCTTCCATCATCCTTTGCAAAGTGTTCTACCACCAAAATCCAGCATCTCCATATAACTTGAAGACATCAAACGATACCTTTTGAGCATTGAGGCACTCTATAGCTTGAAAGATCTTCTCCACCTCAAAGATCTACTCTATAGCTCCATATAGATCATATCCACCTCTAAAGGTAGGCAAATCATTCTGTTGAAACCTAGGCAACCAATTATAGTCCCAACAACATTTGTGTTCCCCAACACTTTAGCTATTGCCTATGGGGAATCAACTAACACGCCATTTTTCCTTCCTACCATAACTTTTCCAATTCACAAAAAAGTACACAAGGTTAAAAACAACACAAACATCATTGTAAGCTCAAAGTACACAAAGAAACATAATGAGCACACAAAACACATTGATCGAATAAACCAACTTGCTCTAATATCACAAAATGTGACACCCTTCTATCTCAAAACATTATAAATAAAGACTTTTAAAATAAATAGAAAATTAATCTAAGATATTATAAAATATATAAATATGACTTCATAATTAAAGGGTTCATAACAGTTGAAACAAAACCACTTCATAAAAGATAATTAAATAACATCAAAAGTCCAAAAATAAGACACCTTTTATACAAAACTTCTGAAAGAAAAATATAAATCATCATGTGTAAAATGACTTAAATTATAACTAAGAAACCATAAAACTCTCAATGCCCTAATTTCACACTATCAGAGCAAAAAACCAAAAAGGCAAATGAAGCATGAGGCTTAGGCTTCTCCTCCATCCTACTCATCTTCATGTACTTGATCTACTCCTGTAAATGACAATAAGCCCAAAAAATACAACACAAAAGCAAGGAGCGAAAATATATCTCATGCATGATATATATATATATATATATAACATCCAAAATGTATTCATCTCCTCAACATTGATACATTCAATATAATTAAGCTTCCATATAAAACACAAACTTGTGCGATGCATGCTTTTAACTCTACATGCATGTGATACCAATTTTATCATCACCAATACAAGGCAACCTAGGAGTCATGGACAAGATCATCACACATTGGAAGACCTTTTTAATCCACTCTCAACCAAGGGATGTCTACTAGAATCTAGTTGAAATGTTATACTTGGCCTTGGTTATCTCACACCACCATTAGAGGCTCCCTACATAACACTCCAAGGTCTAGGTAGATGACTCCTACATAGATTCACACAACCTCACCAAAGAAAGTATGTAATGCATGGACTCTATACACAAACCAATGCAAAGTCTAAAATTTTTCACAAAATACCAAGCCTTGCTTGGATTTCATCATTACACTACAACAAAATTTGTTATTAACGATAATTATTTAATGACAATAATTTAATTGCCGCCATATATAAAAATATTAATTTCTAATATATAATATCCACTAAAAATTTATTTATATTACACTAAAATTTACTATTAGCGACAATTAGTTATTAAAAAAAACTTAAGTCCCACATCGATTAGAGATAAGATAATTAAATAGTATATAAGTGAGTAATAATTATCACCTTACAGGTTCATTCTATAGGGTTGACTCCTAATTCACTATTCTAAATTGGTATCAAATCACCCATTATTACCAAATTCAATAGTGTTGTAAAATAATTAGAGAGCAACTTTCACCTTATAAATCACATTTCTTAAGAGACAAGAGTCAAGACAATTAAAAAAAATAAATTAAAATATATATAAAAAAACGACAACTTTCATCTTACAAATCTCATATCGAGTATATATAAAAGAAAAGTATATAATTTATTAATTTAGAAAAAAAAATTATAGGAATAAATTATTTAAAGTAAAGGAGAAAATTGAAAAAAAAATAACTTTTAACAGCCTTTAAAATGGCTATTAGAATTGCCACTAAAAAAAATAATTTTTCTGACAATTTAGTAGATCTTTACCAGCATTTTATATAAATGTCGGTAATAGTATTAGCAACACTGGATATACCAACCTTTATTTAAATGCTGGTAAAAAAAAATAATAGTCATTTATATGACCGCTAAATAATAAATTAATTGCCACAAAAAATTAATTTTAGTGTAGTGTTATCAGTTGTAGCTTGAACTTATACATCTCATAAGCACCATCACCAATTATTATCATCAACATCATCTTATATATCAATTATCACTATCCATCATCACAATAACATCATCACACATCATAACATTCATCATTATCATATGCTTTACCTCACTTACTTTTAATCTCTTCTCATATTTTTGCTTCACTTGATTAATCGCAATTACTAATTCTCTTATTCTTTTCTTTAAATTCTAACATTAATTAGCTAGTAATGGTGTGGTGCCTAGCGAGATAGAACTCACTTCCAATGCAAAGAAATCATGGATTTCTTTGGCAAATTCCCAACATGGTAATGCTTGCACCCGATGTGATTACTCTCATGCTTAGTGTTAAGGAGTTAGAGATCCCTCTCGAACAAAATTGTCCAGCATGATGCAAGTCACGCCCAAAGTCATCCCTTCTCAAAGGTGTCATCAACATGGCACTAAGCAAGACACCCTCTCATTCAACACAAAGAATTTAGAGACATATCTAGCATGCTTGCGTCCTACATGACTCTCCTCACTCTCAACGTAGAAAATTGCATTTATTACGGCCGACACCATGAATGTGTACCCGATGTTGTCACAAATTCTATACTTCATAGAATCATGAGCTTCGGGATATAAGGCCTTCAAAACCCATCTACATCCACCAATTTGTCTCTTTCACTCCAACATTCAGTAAAGACATGATATATTATTCATACAACATTCATAGAGTATCAATCACTCAAATTCATTGATTCAGGTCAAAAATCCAATAAAAAAAAAGGGGATGTTATATACCTCCTTTTTATTTATATTTTATAATAAATATATATTATTTTTTTTAATTCCAATTTCATGAGAAGAGTATAATTGATTTATAAAAGAGTAATTAACATTATTTTAAAGTTTGAAAATGATATATAAATAATAAATAAATAAATAAATAACCGACACTTTAAAAAAAAAGAATGGAAGGAGTAATTAATTAGATGATATACATTTTTTATATAAAAAAAGGTAATAATTATTTTAAGGGTATATTTAAAATAAGGTATAAATTGTTTACTAAATTATTTTTTATTTTCTAAATATCATCGAATAATAATATAGAATTAAAAATACTTATATTTTGTTATTAGTACTTAAATTTATTTAATTAATGTTATATACAATTAAGTATTGCATATCATCTTTCAAATGTATTGATTACATAAAATAAAACAACATAAATAAAATGAGTAAATAATACATTTAAATAAAATTTTATATTTTATAATATTTATAATTTAATATTATTTATTTATTTTTATATTATTTAAATAAAATAGTTAAATTTAACTTTTTTTTCATTTTTTTTCATTTTTTTCAATTTACAATTATGCTTTTCAATTCTTAGTTGCAAAAATATTTATTAAATAATTTTGTATTATTTATGAATTTCTTCTTAATATATATTGACTTTATTGATTTCTATTTATATAAATTATTTTTTATATTATAAAAATACTATTTAATACTGATATTGAATTTTTTTAAAATATTTTCTTTTGTATTTAATAATTAAATTTTATTTAATCAATTATAAAATAAAATACTTGTTAATTATTTTCAAAATATTATTTTACTTTTAAATTAAAAATATTTAATATATATATATAAACATTTTTATGTACTTTTGTTATCATTAAAATAAATTTCTCTTAACTAAATTAATCTTATATAACTATTTTTATCGAATCATTATTCCATTGAGTAACACGATTAATTTTAAATAAATTTAATCTTTATACTAAGGACTGCTGTATTTACTTAAAAGAATTTATAAGATTTGTCAATGAAATTTACTTCGCTTACAATGATTAGTCCTTGGTTCACCTTTAGAATATTGTGTAAATAATATATATGAAGAAAAAAAAACAACAAAATCTATATCTCTCTCTAATAACTGTTCGTTGATTTTTTTTTTCTTCTGTTTATCTATATTAGTTTTTAAACTTTTTTTTTTTGCACTCTTAACTTCATTGTTTTTAAACTCCATTTATCTCATCTTGAATATTTAAATTAGATACCAATGTATATTTATACTTTTAGTTACAAATATTTAAAATTGAGTAATTATTATTTTCAGTAAAATTTAATATTAAAATTTAAAATTTCAAAAAATATATTTAAAATAAATTTCACATATATTGAACATTATATTAACCTATCCAAATTAAGAATTTGAAATTAAAATTTTTTAAATTAATTTACCTGAACAAAATATTTAAAATAAATAAATAAATAACCTAATCCAAAGTATCTCCTAGTTAAAAGTTAAAGACTTATCCCTTGAGATACTAAAATTCATTTAATAAGTTGACCTCTCCGAATAATTTTTTTTTTCATACATATCAATAGATATCAAATTCCTAATCACATACTTAAGAGACAAAACTATCTACTAACCATGCAATACCTTGCTGTATAGCACAATGACTATTTAAATAAAATATTTAATTATTAAATAAAAAAAAGTTCGTGTATATTTGAATTAACGATTTTTAAAAAAAAATATAACCAAGATGTTTGTCCAACAATGTTCAATTAGAAGTATTAAATACATACTTATAATTTTATAAAGTATAATAAAAACATGTACAACCATTCCAATATGAACTAATAATTTATATTTATTGCTCTTATTTTCCATAGTAATAAAAAAAATTCTCGCGATATACTCCTTAACTATAGTACAAAAATTTGTATACTAACAACAAAAACATAATGTGTAAATATAAACTTGTAGTTAAATAGGTTGTTCTACTTTTCTTTTTCTGTCTGTAACCATTAAATCAAGATCAATCAACTACCGTAATGAAAGAGTGACAAGTTAGCTCATCCTTCAAGCTGTGAATGAGTGACTATAAACGATTAATTGCAAGTGAAAGGATCATATAATGCAACCATGATCCCTAAAAAAATAAGAGCTATGCATTACATTTCCAACTAGGCTATCAATTTACAAGACAATATCATTACCTGGCCTCCACACCCGGACAAGTTTATCATAGAATGAGCAAGTGGCCACAAGTGGTTTGGTTTTCCCATCAATGTGATTTGCATCTCCTTTCTGCCAGTCTGCTCCATAGGCAAGAGAATCATGCTTCTTGTAAGTTTCCAATACTTCGGCTTTGTCGCCTTTAATGGCGACAACAGCAAAACCATTGTGCATACAAGCAGCCAAGACCAGGCCTGGAATGAAGGGATGGTGCTTAACTCTCCAAACTCCTCCACCTAAATTAATTGAAGTCTTATTAACAGGTTTCGAGATTGACCTTAAATCCCATACCCTTAGGAGTTCATCATAGCTTCCGGTTAACAAGATATTTGGGTCATGTGGACTCTTCTCAATGCAACAAACACCCATTTTGTGGACTTTAGAGCTCTGAAATACCACATTGGGAGGTCTATCTCGCAAATCCCAACAACTAAACTTACAATCATCAGAGCCAGTATATACCAAATTTGGTTGGTGGATGTCAAAGGAGGTAGTCCAAAGTTCAAAATCGTGTGCCTTCCACTCTACTTGAATTTCCAGCTTTGATTCAAGAAGAGAAACAATAGACACAGAGCCATCAGAAAGCCCTACTGTGATGGATGTGGCTGAAGGATGCCAATCCAGGTACAAGCACATATTGTTACTGATTTTTTCATTTGTAATCTCCTTTAGATTAACCCCTGGCATAGAGTCAATAGCAAAGCTTAATACAAGTGAGCAAAAGAATGAGAGCACATCTCTTGACCAAAATACAAATTTCAAAATAAGATAATTTAGATGTTGTGAATGAGTTTATCAATAAATGAAAAGCATATCCAGCATGCTGCCAATCTATGACAACTCCTTCGCAATTTCCATGTAAAGACACCATATCTTATTGCTATAATGAAAAACAATAGCTGCTAACAAAATTATTAAGGTAAAGAAACTTGTTATAAGGTCAAATAATTGGTGTAAGTAGTATTGCAGAGTACATAAGGAATAAACCTTCCATTTAAAAAGAGCCGGTAATCAAAATAGAAACAGATTATAATCCCCAACATAGTCATAGATGGGAACCAAACCTGATAGAAGGAATGTCATATATAAGTATCACTGTTTTGACTACATGTGTTAAATTGTTATCAAACTGTTGAGTCATACTATAAATTCAAACGGTTTACAATTTTAAGTACAGGCAACCAATTCACTGTCATAGTCTCTTTCGAGATAAACTTAGGTATAATTGGTAAAGTCGTGCAAATTGACATAAACACAAGTCAATAAGAGTTAGCGAGTTTGAAATCAAATGGAATTTTTGACCCACAGCGAGTGTTTATGCTTGCCTATGTATGTGCTATTTATGAAGCCAAAGAAAACGCAACATTTTACTAGGCTCAAACCCTCACCATTGTTTGTTGTGTTAACCAATTGAAGCTTGGTTGTAGCATGGAGTTTTGTTGTTATCAAGCTTAGTGTTGTCAACTTGTCATTCTTCTATTGTAATGACCCTATGAATTCAGCATCCGTTGTGAACCACACATCACATTAATCCAAAGTTGTCAAGTCAACCCATAAAAAGCAGCAAGGAAGTGTGAGATATAGAGAGATTTTCACAGCCAATAAGGACTGAAGAGTTGTGCTTTCATAAGGAAAACTTGCAACACAAACACCACAATATCCTTCCAACATACCATGTAGCAAAACCACATAACTATACTTTCTGACGTTTTAATAATAACATGGATGGACTGTTAGCTTTGGAGCCAAACAAATGATAATTCAACTCGAGTACATGCATGCAAGTCCAAGTCTATGTGTCTCTACTATGACTTGTTATAGGTAATTTTACCTTTTGTACGGATATTATCATAATTTTCCAAATATTTGTTTGTTAGGAAAATTCTTATGCATTAACAAAATTGAGCCTATAAGTCAAGTTTATGGAAGCTTCACAAGTTTCCTTAGATTCCCAAGTTTGACAAGCTTTTATGTTAATAAAGCTGTAAATGTTATTGAGTACATTTTTCATACTGAAAAATAGTTTCATAGAAACGAATCAAGGGCTAAATCCATACCTTCGACTCCATTACAGCAACCCTGCAGCATTTTAATTCTCAAGTATCCATCAGCATCTGCTTGAGCTAGAAAAGGACTCACATGCCCTCCAGGTGGATTCCACTTTATGTCAAAAATCCCAGAGGTTTCCTCACTAAAAACCATGTCAAGGTGGCCCATGTCCACGTCAACATTGAAGAGTGAAATGCTTCCATGACGACTGGGCTGACAACCTTCTTGTAATGTGTAAGTAGACACCGCTAAAACATTATGGTAGGAATCATGTGGACAAAACTCCACAGCATCAGCATTTCCCTTTAAATAGCAATGTGCTATGTCCATGCTAGCCAAATGATTCCCTAGATAGCTTACCAGCAACTTTGCATCACAAAACAAAGCTTGAATGTCACCAAACTTCCTTGGATTGGGTCAAGCTTAACACAAATGTAAATCATTAACACCCCATAGGTAAATAATAAGAAATCTCGAATGAAAAATATAAATGAGAAAATGACATAACATTTTGCATAAATAAATTTATAGAATTAGTGATTGGGTATTCAATCTCATTTGATACTTACTCAAAATTTTTCAATAATTATCTTTTACATGTCCTAAGTCACCACTGTTATCGAATAAAACCGGAAACCCAAAATAACTTAAGCTAACATAGAACATGAGTATGTTAGAAGAAACATAAGACAAATCAATTTGTAGTACAGCATCCAACCAAATTGAATGGAACGGAAGTTGCTGGATATTCAAAATGCACAACAGAAAAGAGAAGCATAGATTTTTATGACAAACTTTGTAGTTGATCTTGATCATAAAATCCTTCCGGGGAAAATCAAAAGGAGGGTCCAAGAAAAATAAAATTTCGTCGAGGAACCACACCCTCACCCAAAACAAAAGACTTTCTCTCCCTCTTCTGCTGTGAAAAATGTGAACCACTTCCAAGGGTATCGGCATTGTCCACAATGTTAGTTTGATGTGTGGGCTTTAGGATTCGATTTAGTGTTTAGGGCCAAGCATAATATGTTTTGAGCTCTTGCAAAAAGAAAAAGAAACTAAAGTGAAATGCATTGTTTATATTTTTCTCTGAGCTGTTAACAAATAAATAAAAAATTATTTAAACATGGATGAAATTTAATGCATCAAGTAGTTACAAATATCATGTAAACATTATGAAAGGAAAAGTGATAAGTAATAACAACACATTCATTCTAAATTACTCTTTACTGTTGGTTAAAATTTATTAAAAATGACATTCATGAGTGGGAGCTCATTAAATAATGAATGGACCATACCCAAATGTGTAATTTATAATAAATTTCAAATAATAGTGCTTAGAAAAATGTGTTTGAAAGTATATTGTTTTAATGTCTCTTAGTGAAGAAGTCGGTGACCTTTGTTTTTATCCAAACATAAAGAAAAGTGCCAAATTAAGACACACTCTCCCTACATCATCCCAAAACATTAATTTTCACTTTATTACTATTTTAAGGATAAAGTTGAGGTTTTAATTCAGTTGGACAAGTTCATAATTTAAACAAAAAAGAAATTCTTATCTAAAAAAACATAAAAGAAATGATAAATAGAAGGATTTATTTCATGTATGAAGTCAAATTTAATACTTTAACTAATAAAAAACAGACATATTTCATGAGTTTCGCACCCATAACTCCGTGTCAACCACCTAATGTAAATTGAAAATTTTCAAACTCAATCAAACTTTAATATTCATAGTCAAGATTTTCATTTCCAATGTTCTAAAAAATATACCGGTAAAAATATTATTTATAAAATAAATCCAGCTTCCATATGTAGATCTCATTCTATTTAATTTGATTTGAATTTAGTCAGCTAAAGGCTAAAGCTTACAAAGAAATAAAGTGAAGCATCATACTCACCAGCAGACACAAACAGAGGGATCAAAAGCACCTGATGCACAAGAAATGAGCTCATAGTTAGCTTGCTTTCATTCTCCTTTTTAGTTGCCTAAATATAAAGATATCTTGCCAATTAGCATCAAGTAATGAATAAAAGTGTCATTGTATGAGTAATAAATAGTCAAAAGTTGAAGACATATAAGCTTAAATAAAGGAAGGCATATTGACATATCAAACCAAAGTACCAAACAATAAAGGAGCAAAGCAATAAATATAGCAAATTAGCACTAGACCCAAAGGAACATCCAAATGCCACACTGAACCCATAAGTTGAGTCTTTACATGACAACTTAAGTTTAGATGAGAATTAGTTTTTCTTTTATTTAATATCAATGTTTGCTCTCTAAGTTTCTTGTGATTTCATGGTTTTTCATCTGTCTAGGTTGCGGCTACCCAAGCAATTGGTGGATCGCACAACTCTTGTGGAGTGGTGCTGGTGCTGGGAGTTTCCATGCAAATTGCCTCCTTCTTGAAGAATCTCTGTTACATTATATGGCTCAGCCTAATAAATAAAAACCATTAACAATTTATAATATTTCTTATTTTTATTATATATATATATTCAGAAGCACAACAATGGTTTTGAATGACGTTTTAAATGGATAGAGCCAATCTAAGTAATATCCTAATTTTTATCACTCATTTACTTTTATTTTTTATATTCTTATGCAAAATAGCTCCAAAACAAAGAGAAAGAAAATAATATCTCAACTACTATCCTAACTTTTAAGCATCAAAGCATCTTAGCCATAATTTAATGTCATGATATATATTTTGAACTCCCTCTTGACACAAAGTCAGCTAGTACATGCAACTCATATTCATATATCCACCAGACCTTCTTATGCCCCAGCCTAACTCCCTTTCCCTGGGCCCAACTCTTCTCTATAACACAATAACTGGTTTGTCCTTGTCATCAAGTCTTAACCTGCCCATAAATTTGGAAGGTATCTCTTATCACTTTATTTTAAACTACTGCAAAATTTAACCATGCTTTTCTAAACTTTTACATTGGTTCTTAGCCCCCATTAATATAAAGCATTTAGGTTCATGAGTCTTCCTCAATACGAGAGACATGAATGCATAAGAACTCATTTCCTGGGATAAATACACCCGACTAAAATAGCTTGGGAAAAGGGACCTTAATTTTAATGATTTTTTCAGCTCATAGGCCAAGTGAGCTAGAGTCAGCCCATGTGCCAACTCACTTTAAAAAAATGTTAATCTGACACTGTTTATAAATAAGCTCACCCTAACTCACTCTGTGGGCCAGCCCATTATTAACAAAACATAATTTCCCTTTACACAAACTTCCTCTACACTGTCAAACATTGAAGATTTTGTTCGCCACACACTTGGATAAACAAGAGGATCTCATGTCACATTAAAGAAAACATGACACAACACAATTACTAAGTCTTGAACAAAAAGTTTGATTGTTTGATGTGTACCTAACTAAATAAGTTTTATGAAATAATTCTGGATACTGTCAATTTCCAAGAGTAAAGCCTATCCTATAAGCCACTTACAAAATGAAGAAAGCACCAAATAATGGATAAGTTGGAAACTTACCCACGACAACATACATGCATACAACATGTTTTTATCTCCTAAAGCATATCAATCTGCAATCTCATCTCTCTCAACAAAGATCTCCGTATTGTATTCCAATATGAAAATTGAATTTCAAATAAAAATTAACACACTAAGATAAGATAGAAACTAAGACCAACAGCAAAAGGAAACATTTCCAGAGATATCCCATAAAATGTGGATATGCAGTTTACGAGTGGGATCTCATCAGAGGAAAACCACACAACAGTAAGACTTCTGGATCTTTCAAATGATAATACTTGCCCATGCCATTAAGGATCAATATGACCATACAAATTGCATTGAAAGGCTCAAGTTAGATTCATTGAAGAAGTCTTTCCATCATATAATGTCTGAGAATTTTCATATTAGCAAATAAATAGTAATTAATTCCAAGTTCAAGTTCAAGCCACATTAAGTTCAAATATTCATGACATTTGGCAATAACTTGGTATTAATTATTAAGTGCACAACTGGAACATGCTAAAAATAGACCGGTTGAATCACAATTTTATTCCAGTGCAATCTAGAATAACATATGGATAAATGTCTTAGCACGATACAAAACATACGATTACGAATCGTTTTGGTGGTTGAATAATCGCAGTGTGAATCGCAACTTAGAGAAGAATCGTACCATTCTTGCTCAAGCAATTTGGTGAAGCCCAGAAGGAGTTGCAACACCCTAACGCCCCTTCAAGGGCCGCCACACCTCGAGCGGTGTGTTTGGCAACCAAACTCTCTGAAAATGGTTTGAACGGGCAGTGTACCGCTAATTCAATAAATGACAGCAACAACCCTAATCTTAAGCCACAGCAGCCTCTCAGTATTTACTTTTAACTTCGATATAAATTTTAATATAAAATAATTCTAATAGAAAAATTATTATAAATTTTAATGTGAAATAATTATAATACCAGAATATTTAGTATAAATTTAATATTATACTATTATAACAATGCATTTCATATTACTAGACTTATAGATCATTGACTACATGTTTTAATAATCTTACGACTCACTATTCGAAAAATAGACTCTTTGATACATAAATTATCACATTAAAAAGTTCCATCCAATAAAAGGAATTTATGGCTCACATTCACAAGGTTATACTAGAGGTTTATAACCTAATTACATGACTAGAACTTCTATCACATCTCAAACCAATTGAGGTTAGGACAACTTGTTAAGTGTATAAATATACAAAAGAATAAAATTGGGTATCATGCACTAACCATTTGGTATTGGTATTTTATGTTGTAACTACTAAAAGATGAAATAATAATAATAATAATAATAATAATAATAATAATAATACTTAATAAAAATAAAAAGTATTATAATAATAATATCTCAATTTTCGTTGTAACTTCTGCGTCATTCTTAAAAGTATTTATGATTAACCAAATAAATTTTCATAATTTTCAAACAAAAAAAATATCATATATCAAATGTTCTCTAAAAGAAATTAATCTATGTTACGATACAAAAACAATCTCAATCAGAATCGGTGAGAGTCCTTATAAGTTTTCAAACTTTCATCAACCATACCCTCATCATTCATCAAGAACTATTATCCTTACTTCAGATCCTAGATAAATATCACATATTCACACACATTCAAGATTCTATATTAAAATAAAAACAACAATAGCCCAATGATGAGTTACAACAACATTTAACATCTCAATTTTTATATTTTGACACCTCAATCGAAATCAACCTCATTTTCACATTTTCAAGCAAGTCAAAGCACTCATGTTTTACACAACGCAATAATAGAAGAGAAAAAAATGGCAAAGGTGCGTTCGATTAAGGGGAGGGATTAGTGAACGAGGCGTGTAGAGCTTAAGAACACGATTTATGAGCTTTTTAAAATGATTTTCCGATATGCTTAACTTTTGAAAACGGTTCATGAAATTCGATCAAATTCAATTAATCGATTAAGTTCATAAAATGTTCATAAAATAATTCAAATGGAACACAAATTTCATTCACACCAAAAATGTTATGAATTCGATTAGAAAAACGCTAGAAAGAGAGGTACCTGATGAAAGAAAGGGTGTGTACTCTGTCACCGTGGACATCAATGACTATGAAACGCAGTGTGTTGCTTCTGTCGCATAGGATTTTCCCAAGGCCTTTTACTAATTAGTTTTAATAAAAAAAATAATATTAAATATTTTAATTTGGAGGGAGGAGAAAAATATTAGCACGAAAGATAATATGAGGAATAATCTTAAGAGTTTAATTTTTATAAATAATCAAAAATTATTTGAAGTATAATTTTTAAATAATCATTACAAAAAAGATAAAATAAAACTACAATACATAACAAAATGTAATTAGACGATAATATGGAAAACTTTTACATTATTAATATATTTTAATTAAATTCTAATTTTAAAAGCAACAAATTACAAAAAAAAAAAAAAACAAATATAGTATAAAAAATGTAACTGTTTAAACCTGTTCATAAATAAAAGTTAAGAGAATAGTTTTCAAGTGTTGCAAAGAAATTGTTACATGAACGTTTAAATTGTTCTTATTTAGACTTAGGAATACTAGACCACTATTGCAAAAGGGTATCAGATAAGATGTACATTTTCTGATATTTTATCTTAAAATGGTAGGTAATTTACTTTTATGTTCGTAAATTTTTTTTATATTAATGAATAAGACGATGTACTAAACTAATAACATTTTATTAAATGTTGCAAAGAAACTACTAAATTTATATGCATCATAGACTATCAGTAGAACACCATTTTAGTCATTTTAGAAGAACTTCTAAATTGATTTATATTTTTAGATGATTTTTCCTCATTAGATAAAGTTCCTTTCTTCCATGGACTGAAAACTTCGACATAACAAAAGGTGGAATTTTTTTAATTCTGATTTCTATAATGTATGCAAAATGTATTTTTGTCAAAATAAATAAAAATGTATACAATCATTTTACTTATGGACTAGACAAAAACACATAACTTGCAATTCAAAACTCAATAATTTTATTATTAATGTCAAAGTTGAAATAACATAACACATACAGCTGTAATAATTATCAATCCTAATTAAATTAAATTCTAAAGATTAAATATGTTTAAATTCCTTATAAATGGGATAATATTTATTTTTAATCATAAAAAAAACTACCATCTTTTGTCTCTCATTTATAGAAATGAATCATGTGTGAGCTCTTTTTCCCATAAACAAGAAACAAGGGCCATAATTAATACATTTCCAAAACTGAGGGATTAAAAGAAAAAAACTTTTTTCAATCAACTAAAAAAATGGGTATTTGTATATTAATAGGAACTAAAATATATGTAACCCATGTAACCCAAATCCTACACGTATATTAGTTTTCTAAAAATATATTGTAATCAATTCAAATCAAATCAAATTAGAAATCCTAATATGACAATATATTTTAAAAAAATTCATTTAACAAAGATAATATTTCTAAAAAAAAGGTCAAATCCTTAAATAAGAATAAAAAAAATTATCTTAAGTCTTGTACATCATCAATCATCCATGTAGGATCAAATTAAAGCCTGAAGGCTCCCTTGATGCATAAAAGATCAAGCATTCCCTAGTCCTAAGTCAATATCCATAGAGCTGTCAAAATGGGCTTGGCCCGGTGAGCCAACCCGGCTCACCATGGGTTCGAGCCGGGTTGGATTGAAAAAAATTTAAAAATTTCAATACGGGTCAAATTTGAACCCGGCTCACTAATAACCCGGCTCACCTGGATTGAACCCGTGGTGAGCCGGGCTGACCCACCAACCCGTGATTAATTTTTTTTTAAAAAAAATACAATAATTATTGGGTCATGGTGCAGTCCAACATGAGACAATAATGATTTAATGTTGAATTGTGATTTGTAATTTTAATGATTTTGGATAGTATTTGAAGTTTAAGATGATTTTGGATTATATTTGAAGTTTAAGATGATTTTGGATTATATTTATCTATTTGAGATTATTTAGATTTGATTTGATTGTATTCAAAATTATCATTTAATGTTTGGGATGAATGATTTATTTATGGATGTTTTAATTAAGAATCTCAAATTTTTAAAATAAGTTTAAATTTTGGGGCTTTAGTTGTATATTAAGAAGAAAAAAAATGAAAAAAATTATTTTTTTTTAAGGTGAGCCAACCCGTTTAACCCACCAACCCGTGGTGGGCCGGGCCGCGTTTGATTTTTTTGAGCTCACTGATAAATGAGCCGGGTTGGGTTGGCCCACCAAATGGCCAATCCGTAGTGGGCCGGGCCGGGCCGGATAGCCCATTTTGACAGCTTTAAATATCCATGATAGAGAGGATCGTCAACACGATTCTTCAACAAATATCTTATCAAATACAAGTTGAACTGCAACCAAAAGTCATGCAACAAGAAATGACATCAGTATGAGTTTAACTCACCAACGGTTAGAGTAAAAAAATTTTCAAACTATCATCTAAGTCCAATCATGTGTTTGGCACATCCATATTACATGATAGTTACCAGAGAATGAAAGAAATAAAAATGAGCAGAATTCCAAAGTACTATATTATTAAGATGAAGTCAGGCTTGTATCAAGGTGATATCAGATCGTAAGTTTCTGAAACACAAGTAGGAAATGCATAGCAATAAATAAATAATAATAAATCAAGTTTAGGTGTCATAACCGGGATCACGACGGAATGACGGTAACCTTTCTTTTCAATGGAGCTGCCACCAATATTTTATTTTAAAGGAAAAATATTATAAGACCCTTTAAAAGATAATCTTTAAAATTAAAGTTGGGTTCGGGAGTCAATTACGTGTAGGGTAGCACCCTATGACGCCTGTAAAAACAGTACCTTTAATTAATTGCGCAAAATTATATAAATTTATAAATATTTAATTTACTCCTCAGAAATGTATATATATATATATATATATATATATATATATTTTTTTTAAATGTGAGATGCCTTTTTTTGTATTTTTATTAGAAAATTATAGGGATTTGGGTTAACAAATGGCTAATCAATAAACCCTTCCAATAACATGAAAGATAGAATTGTTATTCAATCAATGTTATTGATTTTTATTAGTTGATACTAAATTATACTTAAAGCTTAGGACAATGAATAATTATTCTATTAACTTTATGATTTACATGATATTAAAGGGTAGAAGTGCTAAATATCATTAACCATAAAAATAAGTATACATGAATATTTTTATCTAAAGAAATAGATTTTGCATAAGGATTCAAGTTAGCAAATGGCTAATCAATAAGTCCCTTCAATAACGTTAAAAATAGAAGTGCTACTTAATTAACGTTATTGGTTGCAACATCTTTATTCTTTAAAAAGAAATTTTGTACAGGAGAGTTTAAGCTAGCAAATGACTAGTCATTAAACTCCTAGAACCAAATAAGGTTAAAGATAAAATGTTATTCAATTAACATTATTATTTATCGTATATTGAATACTTTTTAAACAATTATTTTAAAGACAACAAATCATATTCATTATGTACATACAATTATTAAATAAAAAATAAAAAATAAAAAAAATAAATAAAAGATAAATAAATAAAAAGAAAGAAAAAGAAATGATACCAAATGAGAGACTTTAACTTGCTGAATCTTCAAATATGATGATCTATTAGGTGCTTTTTGGCGACCTAATACACTACAATGTTTCTCACAAAATCTCAAGAAATACAGAGGAGAAAAAGAGAAATTTCGAGATCTAAGGAGTCTTGGACGAAATTTTCTGGCCCCAAAAATTATGCCCGAGTCGTC